AGTTGGGCAACCAGCTTGACCTTGACATACGCCATGAACTGGAGCACTGAATTGCGAAGGTGCTTCTGGTCCAGATCAAGGTTGTTCTTAATGACTGCCTTGAGCGCGGGTGGGCAAAGCCCTTCCACCAGCGCCTTCACAGCCGCCTTGGGATGTTTGGTATGGAATGACATCATGTTGTTCCTTTCCAACAGAGATCAGTACGAATAGACCCAGTTGTCGTAGCACCGATCGGCGTCCAGCTCTTTGTCATCCATAACGACAGACGTCTTGATCTTCGTCTCAAGATCGCCGTAATCGGGACCATGGAAATCGAGTGCGTACTGGAAGTATGCCATCCACTCAGCATTCGTGACCGATGACGCATCCTTCCCTAGGTGCATCATGGCAGCAAACTGCTTCGCCTTCGCGTCAATGCAGGTGCCAATAGGTCGAATGCCGATCTTCGTGCCCAGGGCCAACGCCGCTTGAGCACATTCATTGCAGTACTCATGGTATTGCTTGGCAAACGTCTTGCGATGGTCCACCGAATGTCCCGTGTAACGAGGCGCTTTCGGAGCAGCGAATCCACTGAGCAGAGGGACCATTTGCTGGCGACCCGAGAAGGAATTTCTCCCCGAATCCACTCCCGTAGTCGATTGAGGCCAACTTCCAGGTGGTGCAACCCTAGGAACATTGACATCTCCAACACGATTTGCATCGCTCCAGCCACGACTCATCTCAACCTTAACAGACTGAGTCCACGCTATGCGCTCGCGTTCCATCGCAGCTTCACGCTCCCGGTCACGGCGCAATAATTCGGCAACTTGAGATTCCAACTGCCGAGATACTTCGAGGGCCTTTCGGGCCTCATCGGTAGCGATTTGTTGCTGTGTGTGGTAATGCTGCAACTGTGCCTCAGCCTGTGCCACCCGCATTGCTTGCTCTTCTCCGGCTGGTCTAGCCGCCTTGAGCTCTTCTTGCAGCGCAAGTACAGCGCTTTGCATTGACTCGTTCTTGACAGACACCCGGGCCAACTCCGCAGCCTGGGCAACAATCTGTTCGTCCCGTCATGCTCGTTCCAACACAGCTAGAGCAGGATCATCCGCAATCTGCTGACAATGATGATGCACTTCTTAGGACTGGACCATCACCGGAAATGGACCAAGCGACGGTCGAGTTGCATGAAATGGGGCTGGAACCGGCACTCGGCTCAACAACCTCAACGGAGGATCTTCGGTTATCACGAGCCTGTCCTCCACGCCACTCATAGAGGACGTAGTCTCGTCTTCATAGACAAGGTCTTCAATCTCCAGGCGTCTTGCTTGGAGATCGATCCCGGGCTGTGCTTCGCCATCCCGGTAGTACCCTCCGTCAGGGAGCGTACGGTCAGAGAGCTGATCGCTGGAGCCTTCCATCGACCAGGAGTACTTCAGCCGCGATAAACGACTAATAAATTTATTGATGTGTTCCGGCTCGCGCAG